CCAGCCCTAAAGTCAGGATTACCTGAGTTCAAATCCAGCCTCAGACCAAGCACTTGACACTTACTAGCTGTGTGACCCTGGGCAAGTCACTTAACCCCAACTGTCCAAAAACAAACAAACAAACAAACAGCATCATTTAATTCCTCCAATAAGCCTGGGAGGTAGGTGCTATTATTATTATTATCATTATCTTCTTGTACATATAAAGACTGATCAAACAAGTACAAAAATTTTCAACCTTATAAATTCTTGATTTGTAATTACTAGTGGCAATAACTAAACCTCAGTTTTCACAAGGGTCCACTGTTTTTAGTTGGCTTACATAAAAAAAAAAAATCACGGTGATGCTCCAATCCCCATAACTGCTTCTTTATTTCTTTGGATCAATGAAAGAGCCCAAATCAATTCCTTTTCTTTTTACTTAATTCCAACCAGCGTACTTTAAACATTTTCTTTAAAAATTCTTGATATCACACTTTTAAGAAATTTCTTTGTGAGATCAAAACCATTCCTCAAATTTCCTTTTTCAAAACTTCAACCCCTTTTCTTTTAAGCTCTATTCATACTCTGTCAATGCAGACTTCAGCTTTCCTTAAACTCTATACCCATTCTTCTCTCACCCCTACTTGCTTAAACTGTCATCTTTTCTTTCATTTTATAAAAACCCTTTGAAACTGGACCTTTCTTTTTACCTTATCCAACACTTTCCTTACTTTCTTCTTTTAGCTTAATTCATCTAGCCATTAATTACCATGATTTCAAATTTTAGGTCTCAGTATTATAAATGTGCTTATGCTTGAACTTATGTTTGACAATGAGGCAAGAAATATCCTGAAATAATTTGCAGTTATGGTCACTACAAATTCCTGTTTTTATGCTAAGATTTGTAATCCATAGACTCCTTTTAATTTGATATTTTGTAGCCTGCACACCCTCTATTTGGTGTGCGTGCAGTTAATTTATTCTTTTACTTTCCTATAAGTCTATCTTCTTGTTTAATTCTATCTTCATTAATTCTTACCCTTACTTATTATGACCTTACTCATTATAGTTCTATCAAAATACAGTTTTCACTTCCACTGATTTTTCAACACAAATTTTACTTTGTTTCTAATTTACCTAAACAACTGCTTTAAACTGCATTAAATTTCACTTACTTTCAGTTGCTTCCTGATTTCAAAACTAGCTTTTCTCTTTCTAGGAGCATTTTGGGATTCACTTTCAATTCTGGAGTACCAATGTAGTGGCTGATAACAGGGCTTGCTTGGTGTCTTCAGGTTGGTTAAAAGTAAGCAACAGAAGGGGAAATAAATTCCAACTCTACTTTCATTCTTTTTGAATTTCAAAATGGTCTAAAATTTTCCTGCTCTGCCTTCTAATAAAAAAATTCACACTTCCTCCCTGCAATAAATCCATCTTGATGTTAAGTAGTTTTTACGTATACCTTTAATCCACTTTCACAGAGTGACACCCAAAAAACTTTAGACACTATTTCTTTTTTTTTAATTTTGAGCTGTAGAATTATTTAAATTCACATGAGTTTTATTCTAATTTCTACTTACTATTCTCCTAAGTTTTTTCCTTATTTTAATAGTTCTCTGAATTTTACTGAATCTCTATTTCACTGAATCTCTCCTGAACAGATTCCATGATTAATAAAGCAGTGCTGAAATTCAAAATGCAGATTAAAAATTAATTTCTATTCGTTCCCCTTTTATGAAGTAACTGTTCAATCAATTTTTGTTTTCATTAAATTTTACAAAGTTTGCTAGTACCTCAAAGGCTAGTTAAAATACTTCTAAAAACATTCAAATTATAATTTTAAAATTCCCAGTAGAGAATAACAAATTTACTAATTATTGTTGTTTTCTTTTTTTTACCTGTCTTTCATCTCTGTAATCTCCAATGTGGTCAGTAATGGAAATAAAGAGAGAAAAGAGAGACTTTTTTCTGAAGACTTTTTGAAGAGTTTTATTTTTTATACTCCTTTTCCTGTAGTTGATTTATCCAAAGGAAAAAAAAAAACCAAAGAATAAAAGAAATGCTTGGAAGCACCTGCCAGCATGGACTAACAAAAATTAAAAACACAAATAAGGCAGCACAAATTGCCCATTTATCAGGGTTTTGCCTTTTGCACACAATTGGGGCAATAGGCTGAGTGACCTGGAGATCCTCCCATAAGAATGTATATATGGCTTCCTACTGTAGGTGCTACTGAAGCAGGGGCACTTTTTCACCTTCTTCTCTTTCATACTCTCTTTTCTCCTGGTTTTAATGACGCTCTGATCCTCTTGCTCTCTTATTCAATAAACTCCAGTAGCCTCTAAGATCAAATGTAAAATTCTCTTTGAAAGTCACTCACAAGCATGTCCCTTCCTACCTTCTTAACTTTACTACCCTCCACCTTTTCTATAATGTAGTGGCCCAGGCCTCCTTTGCTGTTTCTATCAAGATACTCTATGCCTCCTCCCTGGATGTCTGCTGGAATGCTCTCCTTCTTGTCCCCCTCGATTCCTTATTTCCTTCAACTTGTAGCTAGAATCCCACCTTCTGCAAGAACCTTTCTGGGTTTCCCTCAATGCTTGTGCTTTCCCTCTGAGGTTACTTCCAAATTGCCTAGTATGCATCTTGTTTGTATACAGATGTTTGTATGTTGTCTTCCTCATTAGAATATTAGCCCCTTGGGGACAACGGCTGTTTTTGGCATTCTTTGTAATCTTCGACACTTTACAAAATGACTGGTATATAGTAGGTAATGTTTATTGGGCAACTGAATGACTGACTTGTTGGGAGGGCATATTGCTAAGGAAGGATATTCTCTCACTAAGGTATATTCTAGCTGAATTAAAGAATAGCACAGTAATAACTAAAGCACTCACCCTGCACCCCTCTCCTAGCAGCTCCCCCTTTGCCACCATAGACCTAGAAACTGAAAATTGAGCTCCTACTTGGGGCCCCCATTGCTCCAGATATTTTGCCAGTACACCTTCTCACCTCCCCTTTACTTCTTCCACCCCCTCAAGCAGCAGACATTGATTTTGCCCAGTCAAGTAAAAAGAAAGGGAACTGAAAGCATGCTCCCTTCTGCCTGGGCCAGACCTACTCTAGAGACCCCTAAGATTGTAGGGACTGTACTAGGTTTACCTACTCCCTCTAACTGCAAAAGTGGTAAGGTGGTGATTGAAGACTAACAGAAAAAGTGGGGAGAGCCAGGGGAGGAACTCAGATGGGGAACATAATAGATTCTGCTCCAGGCCCTTACCTTTACTCTGTGTGTCTCTGTGCTTCAGACAAGGTTCTTGTAAATAGCATATTGTAAGATTCTGGTTTTTAATCCATTCTGTTATCCACTTCCATTTTATGGGTGAGTTTATCCCATTCACATTTACAGTTATGATAACTGTGTATTTCCTTTAATCTGTTTTCCCTGTTTATCCTTCTCTCTCACCATTCATTCTGTCCCTCCTCATAAGTCTTTTACTTCTGACAAATGCCTCCCCCATTTGGCCCTCTCTTTTATAAGTACCCTCCTCCTTTTCTTATCCCCACCTCTTCTTGCTTCCCTATAGGGTAAGATAGATTTCTGTATCCAACTGAGTGTATGTGTTTTTTCCCTCTTTGAGTCAATTCTGATGAGAGCAAGGTTCAAGGGTGTCCACTTCCCATGTTCCCCTCAACTGTATTACCTCTTTTGCACATCTTTTATGTGAGACAATTTATCCTATTCTATTTCTCCCTTCCTGCTTCTTCCAGTGCAATCTTCTTTCTCACCCCTCAATTTTTTTGGATGTTATCACATCATAGTCAACCCACACTCTGGACTCTCTTCATACATACACATTACATACACACACACACACACACACACGTACATACACATACATATATACATATACACATATGTGTGTATATACATATGTGTGTGTGTGTGTGTGTGTGTGTGTGTGTATTCCTTCTAGCCCTAATACTGATACAGTTCTTAAGAGTTACAAGTATCATGGACAGTCTGAGCCAATACACTAAAAATGACAATTTTACCTAAATCAGTCTACTTATTCACTGCCAAATCAAAATAACAAAAATTGTTTTATAGAGCTAGGGAAAAAAAACATAACAAAATTCATCTGGAAGAACAAATGGTCAAGAATATTAAGAAAATCAATGGGAAAAAAAATGATAGAAGGTAGCCTAACTATACCCGATTTTAAACTGTATTATACAGTGGTAATCATCAAAATGATCTAGTACTGGGTAGGAAATAGAGTGGTCAACCAATGGAATAGATCAGGCACACAATACATTACAATAAATGACCATAGTAATTTAGTGTTTGATAAACCCAAAGATCCAAGCTTTTAGAACAAAAACCTCACCATTGGACAAAAACTTCTAGGAAAACTGGAAAACAGAATGGCAGAAACTAGGTATAGACCAACATCTCACACTTTATACCAAGATAAAGTCAAAATGGATACATAATTTAGACATAAAGGATGATATCACAAGGAAATTAGGAAAGCATGGCATAGTTTACATGTCACATCTATGGAGAAAGGAAGAATTTCAGGCCAAACAAGAGCTAGAGAGCATTATGAAATGTAAAATGGATAATTTGATTACATTAAATTAAAAAGGTTTTGCACAAAAAAAACCAAAACAAAATTGATGGTCCACAATCTCACATGTCAAAAATTCTTGCATAATGGCAAGGGCTGAAATGAAACAGGGCAGTAAATTATAAACTGTATGTGTGAATTTGGAAATGGGAGGACAGTGATCAATCCAAATAACACCAAGCAGATATGTTTGCCAAAGGATTTAGGTTATGATACAGATTTTTCCTTCTGCCACACATACTTTCTCACAGGTAGATTAGTTACACAGTCAAATTTGACTTGAAAACCTTTGTTTATAAAGATCTGTAGAAGTAATTGTCATCATTAGAACTGAAAGACAAAAGAGAAAATGTGATGAGAAAGCAAGCAAAAAAAAAGACTTACAGTCCAAAGAAATGATTAAAAGGGTTTTGCCATTTTCCAAAGTCAGTCCTGCTTGCTTTGCCTTCTCATGCGTACTTCTGGTTTCCACCTGTGGTTTATCAGCAGGGCAATGAATCATTCAGGGATTTAACTGGAGGTAATGCCTATATACAAGTATGTGTATAGCTCTAAATAAAGGCTTGTTTTTATTTTCCCATCATGACTGCTAACTGGTTTTCTCTCCATATGCATACCTTGTCATTATGAGCCCAGACATGAGTCCAAGGCAAGGCCAGGCAAGTGACCACAATATTTATCATGATCAATGTCATCTTTTTTTTAAATTTTGTTTAATTTTTTTTTAAGGCAGTTGGGGTTAAATCACTTGCCCAGGATCACACAACTGGTAAGTGTCAAGTGTTTGGTCTGAGGCTGGATTTGAACTCAGGTACTCCTGACTTCAGGGCCGGTGCTTTATCCACTGTGCCACCTCAATGTGATCTTTAAAGAACTTTTCTCTCACTTTGGAAAAAAAAGCCATTTCCCTTGAGTAAGGAATCAGCTACTGCCTGGTGCTGTGCTCCTATCCACTCCAACTCCAGTTGCTCACTCTCTTTCTGCAATCCACTCTTGAGGTTTTTGCGTCTCTTCATCAAATACTTTACATTATAGATAACAAGAAAATAACCATCAGAGGATCTCAAATATGCCCAGATTTTCAGGCAAGTGAGAGTTGGTTAGGGATTTGATGAAATAGCCAGTAATAATAATTGTGAAAGGAAAGCAGCTCGAATCCTTCACACTCCTAATGTCATGAGAAATTTTGCAAAATATGATGTCTCAATTCCTTCTTCCTCTTGTCTTTTCAACTGGGGATCAGTTGTTATTAGTAGCTCTCTAGAGTCCTGGGTGGAAACATCCACACTTCAAATACATTTGAAATTCAAGTGCCATGTTGAGGTTCCTAGAGGACATTCTCCATGCTTATTCATAAATGTCAACGTATTGTACTCTGCTTCTTTATAGTTTATACCAATAATCAGCATTCCTTCTGAATTCAGTGCCTGAAAACTCCCTGTTCATAGCAACATAATTATGTTCCTGGATAACTGGACACATTTTCTTCTCCTCAGCAAGGTTGTAGACTCCAATTTCAGAAATCTTTTGGTTACGATATACAGTGGCTACTGGCATAATGGGCACAAGCAAGGATTTAATTGCCACCAAGCATCAACCAATATGTACTGGATGAAAGGTTCATTTCCTAAAATACATTGACTTCCTTATTTTTGTAATTAGGTCAGGGCTGCTACAGCACCTATGCCTCTTTCTCACCATATTGATAGCCTAATGAGAACCACGTGGGGGGAACCATGCCCCCAATGGCTGCCTGAAGAAAGAAAGAAATTGAGCAGCCACCTGGTGCTGTCCCTTCCATTCCAAGTCCAAACCTTGGGACAGTGCTGGGCCCAGGACATCAGCATTCTTGTGTAGAGATTAATGAGAGTATTCTGTGTATTTTTATAAGCCCTTGTTTTCTCTCCCTTTAGAATGTAACCTCCTTGTAATAAGTAAAGATTATTCCATTCATTGTTCTTATAACCCCAGAAAGGGTGGACATATACACCCACTAACAATACAAGTTTAAAAAACATGATGGAGTAGAGACATACTATTTTGCAACATTTCTGATGACAGCAGTAGTGTTGTGTGAAGGGATCAAGTAGCTTTCCTTTCACAGTTGTTATGACTGGCTAGTTTATCAAATCCTAACCAACTCACACACGCCTGAAAAATGGAGCTTCTTTGAGATCCTCTGGCTAATTT